GTCAACTTACCCTCTTGGAAAGCAACTGCGAAATATGGTTCTTAATAGAAAAATTTTTAAGTTAAAAAATTATTTAAACAAAACTCTGCCCAACCCTTGACCTAGCAATTCTGGTCATCTAAAAAAAAAAAGAAAGAAAGAAAAGAAAACATACAATATATGAAAAAATATTATGCACATATTCAGAATGATTCTATGATAACAAAACAATTAGAAACAACCTAAAACATCCAAAAGAAGATTAAGTAAATGAAGACTTGTAGATACACACAATGAAATAGTATGCAGTTGTTAAAAATAATGCTTATAAATCATGCTTATAAGACAGGAAATGTTCATGGTATAAGTTAAAAAAAAAAAAAAAAAAGCCACAGCGCCTCACGTTTGTAATCCTCAGTTCTTTGGGAAGCCGAGGTTGATGGATCACCTGAGATCAGGAGTTAGAGACCAGACTGCTCAACATGGTGAAACCCCACCTCTACTTAAAATACAAAAATTAGCCAAGCATGGTGGGCATCTGTAATCTCAGCTACTTGGGATGCTGAGGTAGGAAAACAGCTTGAACCCATAAGGCAGAGGAGCTGAGATTGCGCCATTGCACTCCAGCCTGGCTGACACACTGAGATTCCGACTCAAAAACAAAAACAAACCAGCCAGCATACAAAATTACATGTATAGTATATTCTCAACTGTGCTATAAAATAGCTACAAAAATACTGGAAATATATTTTACATATAAATTATATGCTTTATACATAATTTTTTTTTTTTTTTTTGAGACAGAGTCTTTCTCTGTTGCCAGGCTGGAGTGCAGTGGCACAATCTCAGCTCACTGCAACCTCTGCCTCCTGGGTTTGAGCGATTCTCCTGCCTCAGATTCCAGAGTAGCTGGGACTACAGGTACTCACCACCACACCTGGTTAGTTTTTGTATTTTATTTTTAGTAGATACGGGGTTTCACCATGTTGGCCAGGATGGTCTTGATCTCTTGACCTCATGATCCACCTGCCTCAGCCTCCCAAAGTGCTGGGATTACGGGCATGAGCCACCATGCTCAGCCTAAATCTGTTTTATGTATAAATAAAAATAGCTTCTCCTAAGTCATGGTATTATGGGTGACTTTTTTTCTTCTTTATTCTTTTCTATATTTTCCAATTAAAAACAACTGTTTATTGGATTTTATGAGAAACAAGAAAAATACATGATTTGGTTCTGGAGGGTTCCCTGTGTTATGACCCCTCCTATGGTGCTGGCTGACACTCCCCCAAGGGGAGACTTTTGATGCATGAGCTAAATTCAGTTACTGACATGAGTGGGGAGAGGGAACTCTTGCACATGGAGGAAAAGAAAGAAGAGTGATCTGCCTCTCCCAGTCTTGCTGGCTCCCTCAGATAAGGAATCATCTGTGGCAATTTGACTGTGCTACTTTCTTAGACCCAGTTAACGGCCAGCAATGACTCAGGCAAAGCTGGGAGAGTGTCTCAGACAAAAGGCACTTAAACCTGTCTGCTGCTTGGGCATCCTCGCCTCTCCCCATCTTCCCTCCCATTCTGCAAAATGTCTGCTGGGAATCTCCTATAGCTGAGACCTGGGGGAGGCCCCGGATATGCTAAGGCACCGATGCTGTCTGGTCAGTGCTCGTACTCCAGGAAGGAGAAGCTCCGCCTAACATATGAAAGGTTATAATAAGGTATGTCCAGAGAGCCAGGGAAGGCTGTGAGAGGGCAGAGGCCATCTGCAAATGGCCTGCACTTCTCTTGAGGCATGAATGGGCCAAATGGAGGACGGGGCTCACAAAGGAAACCTTGCACACAACCCAGGCAGCTTTGAAGTGCCTCCGGCAGCAATGGGTGCTTAATAAAATAAGAAGCATGGCTTAGATCAAGGGTTCCCACCCTAAGATCCAAAGATGGCCCTTGGACCCCCAACATTATTGGGATATATATACATTTTTCTAAAAATAGAAAGTTAAGAAGGAACTGATTAGGTTACTAAACATACAAGAGCCAACAGGCCCTTCACCTCCAGATCTTGAACACCTTCAGAAATTACTTGGCTTCTTGGGTGCGGTGGCTCATACCTGTAATCCCAGCACTTTGGGATGCTGAGGTGGGCAGATCATGGGGTCAGGAGTTGGAGATCAGCCTGACCAACATGGTGAAACCCTGTCTCTACTAAAGATACAAAAAATTAGCCAGGCATGGTGGTGGGCACCAGTGATCCCAGCTACTTGGGAGGCTGAGGCAGGAGAATCGCTTGAACCCGGGAGGCAGAGGTTGCAGTGAGCTGTGATCGCGCCACTGCACTCCAGCCTGGGCAACAGGAGAAGATTGTTTAAAAAAAAAAGAGGCCGGGCGCGGTGGCTCAAGCCTGTAATCCCAGCACTTTGGGAGACCAAGGCGGATGGATCACGAGGTCAAGAGATCGAGACCATCCAGGTCAACATGGTGAAACCCCGTCTCTACTAAAGATACAAAAAATTAGCTGGGCATGGTGGCGCGTGCCTGTAATCCCAGCTACTCAGGAGGCTGAGGCAGGAGAATTGCCTGAACCCAGGAGGCGGAGGTTGCGGTGAGCCGAGGTTGCGCCATTGCACTCCAGCCTGGGAAACAAGAGCAAAACCCTGCCTCAAAAAAAAAAAAGAAATCACTTGGTCTCTCAAAGCTGCTGAGCCCTAGGCTGTGCACTCCACAAGGACAAACTCAATGTGGTGTTGTGTTGAGACGTGACCTATCGTCATGGTGCTACTTCCAGAAGGCTTGCATTACAAGGTTGATGTTAGAGAAAATTAGCACCTAGACAGTTAGTAACTAGACTGTTAACTTTTCTGCTCTTCTCACCAAACAAAGCACAGCATTTTGCATGTTGCAGACTCTCAAAGAACCAATGAATAGGAACAAGAGTACCCCTGCTTTCCAAGTCCTCTGCAGATGAGCATGCTTGACTTTGAGGGGCCACCAAACTCCATTCTCAGGCTGTGGGTGCCTGACTCTTAAGACAGAGGGCCACAGCACTCTCAATAGTTTGGAATGGCTGTAAAAGAGGCCAAGAAAAATGGCTGGTCTTGAAGGTTGGGAGGATTGAGGACCAGAGAGAAGCCTGTTCTCTAAAGATAGGAAGGATTCTCATTACTCTTGCAGACCTCTCTGAATGCAGGGCGAACAAATTGACTTCTTGAGGCTCCCTCCAGCCCAAGGATTCTGTAATTTAAGGGAATGGATGACTCACTCTCAGAGTTACAGGCGTTGAGCCAACCAACTCCTCACATGCATCTGGGACTTGCATCCCAGGTCTGCTGCCCACTCTTTCTACTGCTCTGAACAATTCATTTAACTTCCCTGTGCCTCAGTTATCTCACCTGCAAAGTCAGGAACTAGATGAGACAATGCCAATATCCCTTCCACCTCTAAGAGACTTTAATATTATTATTGAGTCATTAAGAGCAAATAAGAGAAAGGAAAAAGACAGCATTCTGCTTCTGGACTCTGCTTCTGTTGCGTTTCCAAGATACACACATAGAAGCTCTGCTTTAGAGAAGAAAATGATAAAAGGAGGACAGGTAGCATCCCCGGGCCACCTCCGTTCCCAGGCCTGCTCCCGTCAGAGCTCAGCTGCAACCGTGAGGCCCCCATGTGAGTGCCAAGTCCCTTGAAAAGAAAGGGAAGAGGTTTTGCCGGTGAATAACATGTCCCTAAAAAGTGAAGACGTGAGATATCCCCATCAACATAAGGTGCTCCAGAGACCAGGAGCTCCCCCACGGTGCCTCCTGGGCCTCGGTTTCATCATCCATAAGATGGGGAGACCAGAAATGGCTTTACACTCTAGTACCTCAGGTTGACCACTAGAGCCCAAGGGTCAAGTACAGTGGACAGGCATTGGATAAGTTGGGGAGAGAGACCAACAAAAATTGTGGGGTAAGCTTTTGACGCCTTCACAAACACATCTCTTCAGAGCCCTCAACTGAAGTCTTCCCATTGGTCCCCTGGCAGGGGTGGAGCACTAGGAGTGACCGGAGGGACTAGGCACTGGACACTGACCGGGGTGGGCTGCCGGACCCTGGGCCTGCTCACCTGATGAAGGTGGTCTTCCCCGTGGAGTACTGGCCCACCAGCAGAACCATGGGCTTGTTGTCGAAGTCGGCATCCTCCAGGGCGGGCGAGTGGAATTCGTGGAAGCGGTAATGCTCTTCCAAGGGCAGCAGCTTGCTCTTGTAGAGTTTCTTGAGCCCCTCGCTCACCGTCTGGAAGACCTCAGGGTCCTTCCTCCGGCGGTCGTCAGTACCCAGCCAGCTGAACATCGCGGCCGCCGCTCGCCCGCGGCACGCAGCCCTAGGGGAAGGCTCCTCCTCAGGGGAAGATGCCTCTCAAGGCCGGTCGGCCGGGCTCTGAGCCGCCCCGCCGTCTCACCCAAGCGCCGGGCTCAGCCGCACCATGGCCCGGGCACGCGGCTAGCGGGGCTGGGAGTGCACTCTTTCACTGTTCCTGGGACCAAGCCCAGCCACTGCTGCGTCCAGCAGCCCAGGCGGGAGGGAGGATAAATTATCTGGGCTGGAGGAGGAGTGGGTGCAGTCTTGGAAATTAAAGTCGAACCTGCAAGGAAACTGCCAGATGACGGGGTCCGAAGCCGGGGTTCCCGATCGGCCCCCAGCCCTCGCCTGCTCTGCTCTGCGTGCAGCAAGGGGTGCTTTGGCTCCGCTCCTGCAGGACTGAGGCGGCTCAGGGGAGGCGGCGACGCTGCCCAGCCCGCGGACAGCTCCGCATCCGCAGCAGCATCCTGCAGCCCCAGGCGCTGGTTTAAATGCCAGCTGGGCAGGAAGCCGGCGCGCAGAGGAAGTCCACGAGTACTGGCAAGGCCGCTCTGGCCCCACGGTCCAGGCGACGGGAAGCAGCTCAGGGCGCCGCCATGTTTGTGGGCAGGCGCTCCGCTCCAGACCTGCGTCCGCGCCTGGTGAGGGATGCTGACCCAGTCCAGTGGGAGAGCGCCCGGGTCTCAGTCCCCGCCTCTGGGGCTTCGATTTGGGAACAGCGCCCTCTCAGGGACGGCTGCGAAGACTGAGTTGACCTAGTCATCACCCTCCCTGCTTTGAATCCCCTCTCCTTCAGTTGCTGATGCTGATGCCAATTCCCTAGGAAAACAGGTACTCTAGTATTTGCGGATTTTTTTTGGGGGGGAGGCATGGAAAGAAGGATCCACTATCAGGTTACACAAAATAAACAGAACTGTCACTACCCAAACTTTTAACTAAGCCTAGTGTGAAGTCCAAATCGTTCCCATTTATTTATTCATTTATCCCAGCAAAACGAAACAAGCCAGCAAGCAAAATCCCTGCAAGTATTGGGTATTTATTTATTTATTTTTTTTTTGAGATGGAGTTTCGCTCCTCTTACCCAGGTTGGAGTGCAATGGCGTGATCTCGGCTCACCGCAACCTCCGCCTCCTGGGTTCAGGCAATTCTCCTGCCTCAGCCTCCTAAGTAGCTGGGATTACAGGCACGCGCCACCGTGCCCAGCTAATTTTTTGTATTTTTAGTAGAGACGGGGTTTCACCATGCTGACCAGGATGGTCTCAATCTCTTGACCTCGTGATCCACCCGCCTCGGCCTCCCAAATTGCTGGGATTACAGGCGTGAGCCACCGCGCCCGGCCCGTATTGGGCATTTATTATAGGGCAGATACAATTTTGGAGACTGTGGATACAGAGATGAGTGCTGGGCAGACTCTCTTCTGGGAATTCCAGTGAAGGCAGACTTTAAAGAGGAGGCATGAGCAGAGGGCCATGGGAACACAGGGAGGAGTCACTCCTTTTTTGTGGCTGATTTAAGGAAGGCTTCACAGAAAGCATGACTGTAAGCTGGATCCTAAATTATGAATTGACATTCATTATTCTAGAAGAGTAAGGAGCATTTGCAAAGGCTTGAGGAATATGGGAGAACTTGGTGTGTCCAAGTCAGAGCAAACAGTTTGGCGTAGCTGGAGTGTAGGGTTTAGGAAGGTGGAAGAGAGTGAGGGAGGTCAAGCCTGAAAGGCTTTGCTGGAGATGGGAAACCAGTAACAATACTTACTAATCATTGTTACATCAACAAAATGCTCAGCATGTGTAGGGCTAAGTTCTTAGTGAACATTGTTTTATTTAACCTTCATGGCAGATCATGTTACCTCCAGCATCATACCAAGGAGAGTGAGTGGGAACACTGGCCAGGAGTAGGAAAAAGCGGTGATTGCTGTAGAGAATTTAAACCCAATAATAAATTAGCTGAAAGTCAAGCTTGTTTGTATTGGCACCATTCTAAACAGTGCAGTGATAAAACACTGCTCCCTGCCCAGCCTGATGGCTCCCATTACCCTCCCTTCCACAAATGAAGAAGGAGTAGGCTATGGACCAGGCAGGGACTGGAATACCAAGAGCAGTGTCAGGGGCAGGGACTGGAGTAGCAAAGAGGTTGGAGGCTGATATGGTTTTACTGTGTCCTGGAATAAATCTCATCTCTAACTGTAATCCCCATAATCCCCATGTGTCTAGGGAGAGAGCCGGTGGGAGGAGATTGGATAGTGGCGACAGTTTCTTTCATGCTGTTTTCATGATAGTAATTGAGTTCTCATGAGAGCTGATGTTTTTTTTTTTTTTTTTTTTTTTTTTTTTTTTTTTGTAGAAAGTGATTTATCTAGAGAGAGAGAGAGAAACAGAAGGAAAGAAAAAGAAACGGCTAAGTCTCACGGCGAGTGAGAGAATCCAGAAAGTTGGAATCCAGAAGAGGTTTTATAAAGGGCTCTTCCTACTTTGCTCCGCACACTCTTTCCACCTTGTGAAGAAAGATGTGTTTGCTTCTCCTTCCACCATGATTGTAAGTTTCCTGAGTCCTCCCCAGCCATGCAGAACTGTGAGATAATTAAAGCTTTTTCCTTCATAAATTACTCAATCTTGGGTATTTCTTCAGAGAAGTGTGAAAATAGACTAATACAGAAGCCAAGACACCATTTAGGAAATGATTCCAAAACTTAGAAGACAGCAGCAATGGGATTGGAGAAAAGGTCAAACTCAAAAGATTTTTTTCATGGCATACAATTGTCAGATCTTGGTAAGTGACCAAAAAAAAAAAAAAAAAACAACAACAACAACAAAAAAGAATACATAAGGGTGAGGCACAGTCTAGGATGATTTTGAATTTTCTACTGAAGGGGATGAGGTAGTCAGAGAACCAATTCCACTAATTAGGGGAGGCAGAGAGAGAGAGAGAGAGAAAGAGAGAGAGAGAGAGAGAGAAAGAGAGAGAGAGAGAGAGAGCTGATTTAGCAGATAGAGATAATGTGTTCAATCGAAAACGTGTTGCGTTTGAAGTGCCTGCAGGTGCTTCAAGAGGAGTATGGTGAAGCTTCAGGGATTTCAGGGGAGGGGGGATTATCAGAGGCCAGTGCTGAATATAATTTCCTTAGTTTCATCTCAGATCTTCTGACTCCCTCCTTGAACCCCAAAACTGATCACCTCTTGTTGAGAAAGTACTCAGATTAATATTTCACCCTTGGTGTTTACATTACTACCAATATATGAACCTAAGGAGTAATATTAAAGATATGTAAGAACTCACAAGGCATGAGAATCAAACACCTGTAACAGACACTGGCCTTCCTAGTGTAGCAAGACTTGAGGCCCCGTGCCATACCTCAAGTCTTGGTGTTAATACAGTGGTGTCTGGACCTTGGAGAGGTCTGGCCCTGTCCCCAGGAAGAGATCAGCATGGCCAGTATGACAGGAAAGAAATTAAGGGTCCCCATTATGGAAATATTTCAAGATTTTATAATCAGTACAGCCATGCCATTTGTCTGCTGCTGAATGTCTGTTCTGAATATCCAAGTTATCCTGTTGACACATCTACTCCCGTCTCAATCTTGAGTAGTTGAAAATCTATCTTTTTTTAAAAAAGGAACCAATGGAGCATTTCTATAGACAGCAATAAAAAGTCATAAAAGATAATTTTAAAAAAAGATACTGTTTTCAAAAGAACAAAAACCTAGGGATGAATCTAACAAAAGATGTGCAAGATCTTTATGTGAAAAATAGAAAGATGTTCACGAAGTTCTAAATAAATGGGAGAGACATGTTATGTTCCATCATGGAAAGATTCCATGTCACAAACGTGAATTGTTTACAACATAATTGATAAATTAAATAATTGAGAGATATGATTAAAATCTAAATCTAAATAAGGTTTTCAGTGGAAACTGACAAGGTGATTCTAAAATGTATAACATATAGAACAATAGTCAAAAATAGCTAAGATATTCCAGGAGAAGAAAGAAGATAAGAAGAACAAGAAGGAGGAGGACTAGGGGAGGGGAGAAGGGGGAAGAGGGAAGAAAAAGGAGAGCGAGAAAGAGAAGAAGACAACAGTAACATAGCAATGGCAACAACTAAGTGAAGAGAACTTGCCTAGTGGACATTATTATAAAGTTGCAGTGGTTAAGATGGTTTTGGCACAGAGATAGACCAATAGAATAACGACACGGTAAATAGTTAGGACATTTGGAAGCCTGATATATACAGAAGTTGCAATAGAGATCACATCTATATCACCACAAGTTCAGGAAGAATTCCTTAAGGCATCAGAAGTACCAACTGAAAATGAAAAAAACTAAGTTTAGCAATAGTAAAATGTAAAACTTTTGTTCAACTAAAAATACAAAAGTGAATGACAAGATACTTCTCATACACAAAACCCACAAGCACATCCAGAATATAGAATTAATGCCTGTACATTGATAACGAAGACAAACATTCCAATAGAAAAAAAACTTGGCAAGAGACATAAAAATGTATTTTACAAGAGGCTACATGAATGTCCCGTAAACACAAGAAAAGATGTTGCATCTCATTAGTAATTACAGAAATGCCAAACCCCACTAACACTCCACACCCACCAAAATGGCAAAAATAAAAAAGTTGGATGATACCAAGCATTGGTGATGATGCAGAGCAATGGAAGCTCTCATAAAATGCTGGTGGGTGTGCAGGCTGGCACGAACACTTTGGGAAACAATTTAGCATTGCTTAGTGAAGCTGAAGATATCCATGTCCTATGACCTGTATCCTGCAATTCTATTTCAAGGTGTGAACTAGAGAAACTCTTGCATGTGTGCATAGGGAGATAAGTCCAAGAATGTTGATGGCAGCATTATTTGTAGCAGCAAAAAAATTATCAACAACTAAATGTCCTTCACCAAGTAAATGAATAAATTGTGCCACGTTCATATAAAATACATACCACACTGGGATCTACTTGCGGGTGGAGGGTGGGAGGAGGGAGAGGAACAAAAAGCAAGAACTATTGGGTACTAGACTTAACACCTGGGTGATGAAATAATCTGCACAACAGACTTTCATGACACAAGTTTACCTATATAACAAACCTTCACAAGTACCCCCGAACCTAAAATAAAAGTTACAAAAAATACATACTCTACAGATGAGGAAAATGAGGGAAGTGGTGCTACCGATGCCAAAATATAGTATTGAGTGAATAAAGCCAGAAGTAGGCTATTAGGTGTAGCATAATACAATTTCACCAATGTTTTAAGTCATGTAAAAACCACTCTTCATTGTTCATGGATGCATATGCGTGCATTGAGGTTTTTAAAAAGAAAAGCAAAGGAACATAAAACACTAGTCAAGAATGGGGTGTTCTCTGGAGACAAAAATGGTGAAAGGAATTGAGGATGGGTACTCAGGGAGCTTCAACTATATATACACGGTTTTGTTTCTTTTTCTTTTTCTTTCTTTTTTAAAACAGGGTCTCTTCTGTCACCCAGGCTGGAGTGCAGTGGCACCATCTCGGCTTACTGCAACCTCTACCTCCTGGGTTCAAGAGATTCTCCTGCCTCAGCTTCCCATGTAGCTGGGACTATAGGCATGAGCCACCACCCCTGGCTAATTTTTGTATTTTTAGTAGAGATGAGGTTTCACCATGTTGGTCAGGCTCTTATTTCTTAAATTTGATAATGAGTACTTGGCTGTTCATTTCTTATTCCTTTTATTCTTTATTTTTTTAAAATCTGGTCCTTGGATTCACAAAGTTGGATTTTTTCCCCATAATTGTGGTTCAAGACAAACTGTATCTGGCTCTTTTATTGTATTCTTTAAAAACTTAACACATCGTTATGTAATGGAGCCTTGACGAACCCATCATTCAAACCAAGGACTAGAAAAATTAGCAGTAATTTACATCTACTTATGTGCACCTCCCCATCCTGTCTCCTGCCCTGCCCCCTTCTTTCTAGAGGGGAACATTTTTCCTACTGTGTGTTGTTCCCTTGCTTTTAAATTACTGTTATCATACATAAATGCAAGCCGAAAGAACATATTGTTGAGGTTTAGTGTTTTTGGACTTTATAAAAAGCAGATCCTGCTGCATGTAGTGCTCCTGGAACTCGACTCTTCTCCCACTCAACATTTGTTTTCAGCCCCATCTGGCACAACAGGGCTCTGTCTCACCAGGAGTCTCTTCCAAACCGAGCACATGCCTCCTATTTCTGTCACCTGCCAGGTGCATGGGGGTTCCCAGTCAGACAACCTGCAGTACATGGAATCTGGTGTCTTTGCTGTGTGAACTTGGGGAAAGTAGCTCCACTCTCAAGCCTCAGCACCGTGAATTTCAGTCTCTGAAATAAAGATGCTAGTAGCACATTTTTCAGGGTTAAAGGGACAATGCATGTTAAGTACTTAGCCCAGGGCCTGGTCCATTGAGAGTGCTCAGTATATATTAGCTCTTAATATTATAATCACTATTACTTTTATCCACTACATGGTACTGCCTGGTATCCTATTTAACAAGCAATTTAGTAAACTATTGAATAAGCTTAGGATTTAATAGCTTTAATATTTAATAAGCTAGCACCTAGTAAGTTAGTGAGCAACTTCTTTCAGTTCATTTGTGTCTTAACTGAGGATGGCTCATTGACTCAAAGGAATATAATTGTTAGTAGTGATATCTGTGGCATTTACCATGGGTTCTTGGGGCGGACACTATGAAACAGAAGACTTTTCCATCTCTTCCCCTTCTCCCATGCAGGTACGAACCCAGGCCGAACCCTCCTTAGCTTCCAAGATCAGGTGCATTCAGGGTGGCATGAATACAGACTCTTCCCTTTCTCACCAGAACACCAGAGTCTAGCCGGAAGTAATGGGAGAAGATGGGAACTGTAGCAGCAACCTGGAATACAAGTGTGATCCCTGGCTAGGGGAGTTAGAAGATTCAGGAAGTGTGGCTAAGTGTCCACAATCCTAAGAATCTATGGCCCTCTCAACCTGGCCCAACTGCGAACGCATCCTAGTGGCCTGCCTGCAACCACGCACACAGGCACGCCTCCCACATCTGCTTCCCACTCCCCACCATGTGGGCTCCTTTGCACACCCTGTCCTCAGCCTCAGTCTTCCCTTCCCCACCCTCTGCCTGGTGGGCACCCGCTCATCCCTTCAGGCTCAGTGCAGTGGTCTGCCCTCTGAAGAGCTGAGTCAACAGCTTTCCCATAAGAAGGCTGTGCCTCTCTCTCCACTTCCAAGCTACCCCACGTGAACCTCTGTTACCGCATTCATCACATTTTACTATAATTACATGTTTAAACTGTTGCCTCCCAACTAGACAGGGCATGTCTTTGGCCTGGCGCTGTGTTGTACTCATTCTGTTTACCTCAGTTGGAGGGGAAAGTACATCAGCTCAGCCAATTCCTACTGATGAGATCTGGCCAAGTAATTTAACCTCTTTTTATGACAAGGTCCTGAGTGGTGAAACCAGGGTAAGAGAAAGCCCAAAGGCAGAAAAGTGTCAGTGGCACTGCACAATGTTGTTGTGGGGATAAAATGAAACAATGTAGGTCAAGGACTTGACACGTTTTTATAAATCTATAATAAGGGCTCCCTTATT